GGGCTTAGGAAAAACTGGCAGGCGCAAGGGGCAGGGGAGGATTCCTACACAAAGGCATGGGGAAGGGCGATACAACACTGTTTGGACGGGAGCGGCAAAGCGGCTGGGTGGGCTAAACCAGGGAGGAAGGTGCAGAAAGCCTGCCAAGAGAGCACAAAGCCAGATGGTACTGGGCTTTAAAGGACAAACTGGAGTTTGTATCTGATCCTGGAGGCAGGGAGCCTTGGGAGCAGAGGGCTGATAGTCAGATCTGGTGGTTCTAAGAAAGGCAGAGAGACCAATGAGGAGGCCACTGTAATGGCAAGGGGAGGAGGCTGGGCATGGAGGGGCGGCACCATCAGCCTCCCTGGGAGGGTAGATCTGACCACCAGCACACAGGGGTGGGGGGGGGGGGCCTTCTGACAGTCACCACCCTCCCAGGGCAGGCTCTTAGCCTTCCATGCTGGGCACGCCCACAAACTGGCCACATGCCTTTCTCCCTTTGAGCCTCAGTTTCCTTCTTGTAAACTGAAGAGGTTCAGAGGATTACAGCCTTTGAACCAAAGGCCACGAGTCCAACCCTCACCTTTTAGAGATGAGGAAACTGAGGCCCAGAGAAGCCATGTGACTCAGGTGAGGAAAGAAGCAGAGCTACCAACGCCACCCCCAAGGCCAGCTCCGACTCCAGAGCCAGGGCCCTTTCCACTGAACCAGCCAGGTTTTTCCCCACTCTGACCTACCACAAATCTATGGTTAGGGACTTGGGGCTCAAGGAAGGCTGTGCTACCAGAGGTATCTCTGGGCCACTTCCCCCGCCCCTGAAGGATACAGTGACGTGGGCCAAGATGCTCTTCGCAATGCTCGAGCCAAACTCCCAGCAATAGTTGTCTTGCCCATAGCAGGGGGAGTGGGGGAACATTTCAGTGATGCAGGGAAGCTGTCCCCTCAGGGTGGCTTCAGAGGCCTCCAAGGCCAAGAGGCGATAAGCATCAGACTACCACAGAAAAGTCGCCCACCTTCCTCCCCTTGGCTCCAAAGCATAGGTCTTCATAGGGCCTTCCATGTCCCCATCTCCTTGTTCTCCTCTCCTCAACATGGAATTTTGGGATTGCCAATTAAGCATCCATAGGGTGGTCAGGACCATGGAAGGGGTCATGATTCAAAGGAGGCCTAGCCGTGGGTGACAGCGGCCAGACTGGGGGCGCACCTGAGCCCCAAGTGGCCCAAAGTGCATGCTCTTGGCCTCTGATGGTCAGAAGCCAGGGCTGTGGTGTAGCCTGTATGTGGCCGTGCCTGGAGAGTCCCAGATGAGCTCTGGCTTCTCCGTGAAGGGTCTGAAATCATTTGGGATGATGCATTTTGTCCTCAGCCCCGGGGACATCAGGAAGAGGAGGGATCCCTTATCTGCACTGATCCCTGAGCACTCAGAGCATGGCTCATGGACAAAGGCATCTGTGTCTCACCTCGCTTTCCTGGGTACTTCTACATCCAGGACCCTCTCCAGGTAGCTGTGGCCTGAAAGGAAGAATTCAGGACAAAGCAGGCAGTCAGAGAACAGCAGCATGTCCTGGAAGGGCACTAGACTTGGGATCACTAAAGACCTGGGTTCAAATCCTCCACCTGACAATAGTTGTTTGACCCTGGTCAAGTCACTCTACCCCCTCTGACCCTCAATTTCCCTATCTATAAAATGGAGATAATCATACCTGTAGTACCTACCCTCAGATGGTACTGGGAAGGTCAAATGAGACAACGTATAGAAAGCATCTCGAAGGCGTGACAGAAATGGTTTATTAATTATAATCACAAGTCAGATGGGAACCACTCAATTCTTTTCCCAGAAGCTTCTACAGCCTGGGACGGCAGGGATTCAGGAGAACTGTTCCTCCCAGGTTTCATCTTCCATTCTCCCTGCTAATCTTTCTGAAGTCCCCCTTGAGACCATGTGGTCTTGTGGAGACAGTCCTAGTTTGGGAATCAAGCTCCAGGATTGTTATGTACTGGCTGGGGAAATGTGGCCAAGCCCCCTCCTGTCAATAGGCCTCAGCTCCCCCACCTGCAAAACGAAGGTGTTGGCCTAAGTCACTGGCTCAAGTCCTCATTGCGGGGGGTCACAAACTGGATGGGGCCTACTCTCACAGACCTGCCACCCTCACCCATCAGGGTGTGGCAACTCCTCAGCTCCATGAGCCAAGAAAAGGAGGAGAGTCACCAACCAAGATGATGCTAATGGTTCTTTCTGGGCCTCGGCAACCTCTACCACCATGTCACAAGGGCCAAAAGGCCCCAGGCACAGCTCCCTGCCCAAATTGGAGGACCAGTTGCCTAGTTCACTCGACCTGATCTGAACATCAACAACTGGGCCCAGAGCTTCCTACCAGCCTTTGGGAAGGAAGAGCCAGAGAGGAGAACGCAGGGAACTTTTCAAGCCTGGCTTTTCCTGAATTGTTTTGTAGTATCTGACCAAGCCACCTGCTCCCCGCCTCCCCCCTACCCCCCCCGCCGTGGCAAGGCAATGAGAAGGAAGACACCTTGAAAGCCAAAGAGCAAAAAATGCAAGCCAAGAGGCAATCCCAGATTTGGAGTTGCCCCAAACTACTCTCCCTGCTTCCCCTTGGGATCACTGGGTCTGGACACAGCTGGGGCCTCTCAGGCCATCTAGGCTTGCCTTCCCATTTTAGAGATGGGAAAACTAAGGCCCACAATGGAAAAGTGACATGGCCAAGGACACACAGGTAGGGAGTAGCCAGCCCAGGCCTCCTTCAACTTTAGCTTGCTGCTTTTCCCAGATCACTGACCTATTAGCTAAGCTCCTGACATCCAGAATCCCAAAGGGCCCTTATCTGGTGGGGACCAACTTGACACTCCCCACCTCATCCCCAAGCCCTGCAGAAAGACCTCCTTGTGCAGAACGGTGCTGTTGCTGGGATACTGAGCATTTGCCATCCCTTTCAAAGCCTGCACATGCAAAGGCTTGGCTTGAGCTTCAGTTACACTGTTTTTATCACCCCAGGGAGCTTTTGCTCTGTGGCCACATTTCCCTCACTTCTCCCCACTCGTCACATTGGATCAGGGTCCTAGAACACCTGTTTCCCTAGTACTAATCAGGGCAGCTAGGTGTCAGATAAAATGCTAGGCTTGGAGTCAGGAAGACTCCTCTTCCTGAGTTCAAATCTGGCCTCAGCAACTTACTAGCTGTGTGACCCTGGGCAAGTCACTTAACACCATTTCCCTCAGTTTCCTCATCTGTAAAATGAGCTGGAAAAGGAAATGGCAAACCACTCCAGAATCTCTGCCAAGAGAACTCCAAATGGGGTCAGGGAGAGTGGGACACAACTGAAACGACCCAATAATGGCACTAATCTCTGTGTCTGATACACTCCCCCTCCCTCTTTTCTCCTGCTACTGCCAATGCCACAACTGCTCAAATAGGGAGCGCTTACCTACCTAGGAGGGGCTCATCCCTCATCTCCAAGAGATTTCCAAGGGACCCAAAACATGGGCCTCATGGCTGCCTCTGCACTGTATTCGAGGATAAAAAGGCCCTGAGGTAGAGTCAGATTGATCCAACGCTGACCCTCTTATGTCACTAAGGCCTCAGAACTACGTCAAAGTTACTCCTCTGTGGGCCTTTCTAAATCAACCTGGTTTCTTAACACAGGACCTAAAAATCTCTTAACCCAACTATTTCAGGCAGGTCTTTAGCATCCAATGTCTAACAGCAGGTAGGGTAGCTCAGTGAAAGGCTATGAGCTGGAAGGACTCAGGAGACGTCTGCTAGCTATCTGACATTCCTTGTAGGCCTCGTCCCCAATCTGTGTCTCCTAAACCGCCTCCCACCCCATAGGGTTATTTACTTGTTCCCTTTGAAATCAAGAAAGAGAGAGACCCCCTAGGCAGGCAGCCTGAGCACAACAGGTTCCCACGGCATGCTGAAGGGAGTGGAGGGGAGACTCTCTAGCAGGTGGAGAGGGTGCTCTATGGAGGATCCACAGGAGGACACGGGCACAAGTCCTCTGCTCTCTGCCCTCCCCCTCACTACGAGGGGAGCTAAGAAGTCTGTCAATGCCCTGATCCTCACAACACTATCAGGCAGGCACTGCTATTATTCTCATTTCATAGATGGGCAAACTGAGTCAAGAAAGGTGACTTTGCCCAGAGATGACCTAGGTGCTAAGGCCTCCCAGTTTAGGGCTCCATCCAGGACCCCACAGGGCCAACGACAAATCCCTCGGAATTTAATCAGGCTGATTCGTGGTCACAAGGAACTATCCACAGCCTTTCCACCTTGGGAGACAGTTCCAACCACATCCTCTGCTAGGCCAGCCTTCCCAGGTCACATGGAGGGCAGAGACCAGGAGCCAGAGGCGGCTCCAATCCCTCCTCTGGCCCTCCCAGAGGGACTTCTATCATGTCACAGTAAGGAGGGGGCTCAGACAATCCCCCAAGTCTAGGGATGGGTGAGGGGCTCCCCTCCTTCCCACTTTCCTCTTCTAGGAACTCTTCTTCCATCCTGGAATCCCCTCCCCGGGCAGACATTCTAGGAATCCAAGTGCTTGGGGCACCCTCATCTTTGCTAAAACGAGGCAGAGGGCAGATAGACCGCGAGGGACAAAGGGATTGAGCTTCAGCGCCCAGGAAATGCCCAACAACTTACAGATGATGCAGCCGGTGACTGCCGGTTTCTGGGCCAGCTTCCTGGAGGACCATCGAGCAGAGCTCGACGTGGTCTTCGGGACCACGGAGGCCTTACGAATCAAGGAAGCCCCATGGGCTTGTGAGGATTTGAGCAACAGTCTCCTACACACCGAGCGCCGGTCACAGCAGGGGCCTATCTGGGTCTGGGGGCCTTCCAGCAAGTCCAAGGGGAGCTCAGTCTCTGGCTGGGTCTGTGCTCCTGGAGAAGAGGGTGCCCTGCCCGGCTTGGCTGTCACGGCCACTGGCTGGGCTATCTGGAGTTTGGCCACAGACCAAGCCAGCCCCGCAGCTTTCACCTCAGGCACCTCAGTGGGCACCCCCAAGGAGGTCCCAGGCGCTGGCTCAGGGTGGCTTTCTGCTTGCTTTTTGGGCACCGATTCATCTTTGCAGCCCAAGCTGAGGGCAGCTGTCTTGGCCTTGTGTGCCACCAGGAAATTCTCAGCACTCTGCTGGTCGCTGATGATAATCTCTACAACAGGCACAAGCCCATCCATTGCTGCCAGGTTCACAGGCTTTTTGGGGAGCACCGTGGGGGATTCAGGGGGTGAGGAGGCTGCTGCTGCTGCTACTTGGGTTCGAGTCCCACGACGGAAAGAGCTGTTGTCAGCTGCCACCATAACTAGCTTCTCCAGCCTGTCTTTGTTCCGAAGGAGCTGCTGGTTGTGTTGACTGCTCCTTCGGCTCGCACGGCGGGACAACCTGCATGAGACGGAAAGCGGGGCCCTGAGACTATGGCCTTAGGCACCGCCAATCGAGGAGGGTCTGTCCGTCAGTCTAATAGCATTTGGGAAGTCCCTATCACGTGCCATGCACTGTGCTAAGGTGCTAGAGATACAAAGAAAGGCAAAAACACAATCCCTGTCCTCAAGGAACTCTCAGTGGATAAAGCACTGAGCCTGGAGTCAGGAAGGCCTGAGTTCAAATCCAGCCGTAGACACTTCCCAGCTGGGTGACCCTGGGCAAGTCACTTTACCTGTTTACCTCAGTTTCCTCATCTCTAAAAATGAAGGTCTTAGACTCAAGGACCTCCAAGGTCCCTTCCAGCTCCAAATCCATGGTCCTAGGCCCTCTTGAGGGCCCACACACCAGCACCAAGATCATCCCCTGCCCTCCCCTTGCTTCTTGTCTGGGTCCCCTCCCCCCTCGACATCTTGTACTTTCTTCCATATTTCCCACAGCACCGAACACAGTGCTAAGCACTCTACCATTGTCACAGGACCACCATTTTAATGGACAAGACCTTGGAGGCCTTCTATTTACAGAGGCCTAGGGAGGTGTCACAGTTGAGGAGGGGCAGAGCCAGACACTGACATCAAACCCAGGCCTGTCTCTGCTGTCCTGCCCTGCCCGCTTGGCCCTGGGCCCCGGGAGTCACCTACCTTTTCCTGGTTGGGGGCTTGTTTTTATCCTGAATGGAGGAAAACTGTTTCTTCCTCCGGCGGTTCCTCTGAGATGGCGTTTTGGGCATCAGCTCAGGCTCCACTGTGGAGTCACTGAGGGGCAAAGAGGAGAAAGGAAGAGTCACAGAACATCTAAACTGGTCACCTCCCCATCAATAGCCCCTTTGGCCTGGAAATGCCCCCGGGCCTTCCTGCTTGTCAGAAAGGAGGGCAAATCTCCTCGCTCCTCCCGCTATGTGGCAGCCTCACCTACTCACCAGGGGTTCTGCAAAGCCTAATCCTATCTTTACAGCATCTGAGAAGGTTAGACCTGGACCCAATCTGGGGGATCTGTCTAGGCCAAATCCTTCATCTTAAAGATAAGAAACTGAGGCCCAGGGAGGTCATCTGATTTGCTTTAGTTCTTCTGTCTGGGAGCCCAGGGCTCTTTTCAGGCCCCCACCAGGTTGGAGGCTCAAAGTCTGTCTGGGACTTGGGACACATTTCCTCACAGATGCAGTCACACAGAGGACAGCTAAGTGGCACAGGGTACTGGACTGGGAGTCAAGAACCCCGAGTTAGAATCTCACCTTGGCCACTTCGCAGCTGTGTGACCCTGTAAAATGGGGATGATAACAGTGCCTACCCCCTGAGCTGTTCTAAGGATCAAAGGAGCTAACATTTGTAAAGCATTCTGCCAACCTTCTTGAAGCTCCAGATAACTGAGTTCTGGACACAGCTGGTTCCATGCTGTGCCCAGACTAGGCCAGAAAGGTCCCTTTAGCCTGAATTGTACTTAGGTCACCCTAAGATGCCCATATCTGGTAGAACCCTCATCCCTGTGGGAGAACAGGGATCTGACTGGCCCCACTCTGGCAGCCTCCTCCCCTGCCACCTCAGCCCTGGCAGTAGGTCAGGAATCCCCACTGCCCACACTGAGGGAGGCTGCATGGTCTAGGGAAGATAGAGGCCCTGGGTTCAAATTTTACCTCTGATATTTATGACCTGAGTGACCTTGGGCAAGTCTTTGGACCTCAGGATTCCCAACTGCACAATGAGGGGATTAGACTAGAGGGGCTCTGCCCAGCTTCCATCCTTCCAGCTCCAGAGATCACTCCTCCTCACCTGGCACTCAAGGACGAGCAGGGCAGAGACTGAGGATGGGGGGGTAGGGAGAAGCTAGAGAATGAGAAGAGGAAAGGGAATGGGGTCTTGGAGGGAGGGGAGGGCAGCAAGGAATTACGGAATCTGAGTGTTAGGAGAAGCATCAAATGGTCACCATGGCACATGGAGGAGAAATGGGGTAGCTGGCAGACTGCGAGCTCAATGATGGGCAATGCCCTGGGGAAGCCAGTTTCTGCCACTGATGGGGTATATGAAGGGCATGTCCAGAATGAGGGGAGGAAGGTGCTCAGGCCTAGTCAGATCCCTTTAGAACACAAGATCTATTCCACAAAGAAGAAAGCATCTTATTCTCTGAGCTTTGTACAATGCCTGGCACAGAGCGAGGGAGAGAGGGGCGAAGGAAGGAAGGAGGGAAGGAAGGGAAGAAAAGAAGAGAAGAGGAGAGGGGAAGGGATGGGAGGAAAGGAAGGAAAACACCCCCAAATCGGAAGAACTTTGGCAGGCGTGGAATGGGCCACAGACAAACATGTTCCTCTTTCTCAGTTCCTCTGGCTCTGCCTTGCTACAGCGGCAAGGTTACCCATAAGGTTCTCCCCTTTTTAAATGTATGTTTCTGTCAATGATCTTTCAGTTCAAAGTCAGTTTTTGCCTGGTGTCCTGTGCCCTGGGTTACCAGCCCCTTGCTGCTGCACCCACATGGGCCCTTCAGCCCTGGATTTACCTAGAGAACATCTTTTGGGCCTCCTCCTTAGTCTCCTGCAGCCACACCATGTCTCTGTTGTCCACACTGGAAACAAACTCCATCAGTTTGGTGGTGCAGACCTCCAGGATGCTCGCAGACCCCATGGTGGTCTCCATGGTTCCACCTGCAACACCATAGCAGAAGGGAAGGTAAAAATTATAATGCACAGAGTTTTAAACCCAGGTCACTTGCTGGGGAAAACAGTCTGAGCAGGTTCCGGGATGCTCAGAGAAGGGGAAGGGTAGCCAGGCCCATCCCTCCACTCTGAACCCACTACCCACTGGCAGCTTCCTGGGGTGCCAAGAACGCCTGGCATTCACTACAGCAGCAATCTCCGTCCTCTGATGTCTGTGCATGCTGATGAACTTCCCTTTGTCCACTCCAAGTCCCAAGTCTGCCCCTTGACCTGGGCCACACAGTCTCCCCCCCACCCTTCCCACAGAACAGAGATCTCAGAAAGGCTGAATATTTCAAAGGAACCGAATCAACAGTTATAAAATCAAGTCTACTCATTCTGGAAAGGATGGATCAATTAACCACCACTTCCTTGTATGTGTTACCTCCCCCATAAGAACATAAATGCTCTATGAAGGTAGGCGCCAGCTTTGCTTGCTTGTATCCGCAACGCTAAGCCCAGGGCCTGAGACAGAGAAAGCACTGCCTTTCTCCTTTCCTTCCTATTTGACATCCGAAAATTGTCAAGCTGTTAGAAGCTTCAACAAATCCCATTTCATTTTTGTGCCTTGACAGGAAGCTGAGAAGTCAGCACCCAGCACCCAGGACAATTCCTGGCCAGGAGAAGGCGCTTAATAAGAGGCTTGGCGATTGGCTGGAGATATTCAGGAGCCAGTGAGTGTACATTTGGGGCCTCAGGGAGGGAGGCTGGGGCAAGGAAGAGAGAACTGGCTTGGAGGGAGAGGCCTGATGGTCAGACTTCAGCTCTCATACTCATTACCCTCACACATGGCTCAGAAATCACTGGCTGCTGAGGCTCCTGCTGGCCCTCAATCTCATCCCAGAATCCAGAGGAAGGTATAGGCCTGCTAACTAAGGCAGGGTACTGGCCCAGATGGCAGGCTGGCATTATCCTCCCTCATGTGCCTTACTCCCAAAATGCAGCCCCCTGCTCAGCAAGTCGTTGAGGATTCGAGCAGCTCTGCCCCAGGGAGGGCACAGAGACGTCAGAAGGAGCCCAGATGGTCATTTCATGCTGCTACCCTGCAGATGTAGAATCTGCAGGAACCCAACATCCCTCCCTCTGCTGGTTTGCTGTTCTCCAGACCAGCCTTCCTACCTAGCACACCACTGTTCAGCAATGTCAAAATGCCCCCTCCTTATCCTAACCAATTCCATTAAATTCCACACCCTGGATTTCGAGCTAGAGGGGATGCAAGCCACTAGCCGATCCAACCCCCACAAGAAGAACCCATGGCCCAGGGAGGAATACGTAGCAAAGGGACAAACGAGGGTGAGGGCAGAAAATACAGCCAAGGTTCTTCCCTGATGACTCACGTCAATGCCAGCCCCAGCTTGAGGTCAACAGGTCTCATTAGCAAAGTGAGCCCTTAATTCCAGAAGGTAACAGAGCAGCCAGGCACAAATTAGGGAGTGCAGAGGGGAACAGCCAGGACTGCACATCCATCCCAAGCCCGACTGGGAACAAAACCCCTGGCTGCAAAGGGAGTTTGGGATCTCTGGTCTATTATTATTATTGGTAATACATTTTTAATAAGTGCTTTAAGGCTTGCAAAGTGCTTTACATGTATTATCTCATTTGATCCTCACAACAACCTTAGGACACAGGTGATATTATTGTCACCATTTTATAACCGAAGTAACTGAGGCAGACAGAGGTTCAGTGACTTGCCCAGGGTCACACAGCTAGTAAATGTCTTAAGTCAGATTTAAACTCGAGTCTTGCTTATTCCAGGTCCAGAGCTCTATATGTGCCACCAGCTAAGGGAATATGGCACTGGCCCCCAGGGGAGACAGCACCAACATGGGACCCACAGTCTCCCCCGAGTGAGCGCCACAAACATTTTGACAAGTGCCATGGAAGGAAGTTGGGCCTGTGTGAATCTGACACAGGACCAATGTTTGACACTCAAGAACTACAAGTGACAAAGATGTTTTTTTGTTTGGTTGGTTTTTTCTTTTGGCTAGGCAATGGGGTTAAGTGACTTGCCCAGAGTCACACAGCTAGTAAGTATCATGTGTCTGAAGTCACATTTGAACTCAGGTCCTCCTGAATCCAGGGCCAGTGCTCTATCCACTGTGCCACCTAGCTGCCCCACAAGTGACAAAGATGAAAAATGACCCAATCCTTGCCTTCACAGGGCTCGTGGTGTAACAGGGTAGCTCTGTCTCAAACACACACACACACACACACACACACACACACACACACACACACACGTGTCAGTGTAATACAGACAAGAGTGCAAGGAGACAGGCTGAGCACTTCAGGGAGATTTAGGGGAGCACATTCCTCTCAGCCTTTGGGGTTTCTTATCAAACTGTTTCTCTGAGGGGTCTCTGGGACAAACAGAGAGTTGTTCAAGTGCTTTCTATGGGAGGCGTTTGATCAGAAGAAGAAAAAAAATCCAAGAATCCCCCAAGGATCCGATCCCAAGCCAGCCAAGTTGCTCCCCTCACCTCAGACCCAAAGACATCCCTGCTCTGCTCGTGCTTACTGATGGGTTTGTGGCCACATCAGGGATACTTTATCACACCTCGGGCTCCCAGGCCCCATTTTTTTGGCCATTTCTTGACCACTAAAGCCAACAAGGAACCTTCAAAACCAACTGTCCCTTTAGGCGTCACGTAGACTATTGGGGTTCCACAATTCCATGGGGGTTGGTGAGAAGACCAGTGGGGGAGACACAGGGGAGAGATAGATGGGCTCGATCAAACAGCGGGCAGTGTGAAGGTAGGGCCATGCACAGAGGACTTGCCTTGGAGATGGAAGACCAAGGCACTGAATCTAGCTATTTCTGCCACTTACTGCTCATGTGAGCTCAGGCAAGTTATGCCCCCATCAGGGCACCTCAATTTCCTCATCTGTAAAACAAGGGGGATGGGTGTCCTCCAAGGTCCCTTCCTGCCCCAATGCTCAGACTCTCATTTCTCATAGCTCAAGGACCTCTACTCTACAAGATTGCTCCAGAGGTAGAGCCAAGATGGTGGAATAAAGGCAGGGATTTGCCTGAGCTCTACCCC